TATTGACTTCGATCCAGATATTGAAGGCAAGGAGCCCAAAGTTCTCACACGAGGTAAACTGAATGATTTGGTTAGAGACTTGTCCCTTTCCAATGAAAAAGCTCAACTTTTGAAGTCAAGGCTGAAAAAAAAGAATTTCTTAGCAGTTAGTGTCTAAGTATCCCAATTTTGAAAGCGCAACAACGGTTTATTTAGTTTTTCATCGTTGATGGACCCTTGTGCTACTGCAATAATGTCAATGGTCTTTTCGAAAATATATCCCAAGTACATTCGTCTCGTGATTTACGCCTCTTCATTGATTCATCCAAGAGGAGTTTAAAGGCCGTGTTGTTGCCTATTAGCAATTAGAAGCCATGTATTCCAATCTCTCAATCCGTACACTTAAATGAAACTCACTAAAATATGAAAATATTACTAGACGGTATTAATTTCAAAACTCACCAGTGAAACATTTGTGGTAATTTGAAAGCGATTAGTATATTAATGGGTATACATACATATTTGGTTTAAAAATTTCCAAAAATTAGTGCAGCAAAACTCAAAGAAGGCGTTTTTGTCGTACCCCGAATTCGAGTGGAAAAACCATGGATTTGAAGAGTCACTTACTTCCGTCAAAAAAAAAAGCGTGGAAATCGTTTGTATGGGTTTAAAAAATTTTTTTAGGAATTGCAAATTGTGTGAATATAAAATTGTATTTGAATTATAAAAGTTATTCAAATTTTTTCAAAAAGTGGGCTGTCGTATGTCATTGAAAATTCATTTTGACATTTTTTCCTGAAAACTTGTGCGCTGTGAGTGATGAACAAGGTGAACGATTCCACCCAGATATTCAAGTAATGGAAAAACGTTACTAAGGATTCTGGAATGAAAGCACATTAGCTGACTACTGTTGGATGCTTTATCGTGATGAACCAGAAAAAGTCTACTAAAGGAAGTCATATTCACAGAGATTTTAAGTGATTTAAATGCTTTAGTCAACAGTCTTTAAACTATTAATTGTGTATAAACGATTATGAATATACCTAGTCACAGAGACTTTGACTTATTTGTATACAAACATAAGTGGTGCATTATATATTGAATCTTTATCAATGTTTATGTATAGGGATAAAGTACAGAATGTGTAAAAGTTAAAACTTTAAACATATTAAAAACTAGACGTGCTGGAAGAAAATAGAAAGCAGATTTGAAATCAGCGCAAAAAACTGGTTTAGAAAAAGTTATTTAGATTCATGGTGTATTCAAAAAATATTTTTTTGTAGACCTATCTAACTAACTAACCCTATCTACTAACATATAAACAGAGTGTATAAAAAGTGATGTTACTAGAATCTAAATTTTTCTTTTCTAGAGCTTTCCAATATTGCTAAACATTTTATTATAAGACCAATAAAAGTTATAATAAATGATTGAAGTATGAGATTAAATCAATAAATAATCATTAAAAATAATTAAAATCTAAAAACTCAATTTAAATCATGATTAAAATAAATTTAAATTATAATTTAAATAAATTTAACTCGTTATTTAAAAAGATTTAAATTACAATTAAAATCAATCAATTTATATCAAAACAACCCTGTATATATTCTATCTTTTTGAAGCAGAGGGACATTATTCTTGGTTTTATTAGTTTTTAAATGTTTTTTATGGACATCGTTCATAACTAGTTTGCATACAACAGTTAATAACTTAAAGCTTACACATTAATTTTAGTTAAAACTTAATTATTAATGAATTGATTTATAGATTTTCTTGAAAATGTAAGATTGAACTTAGCAGAAGGCTAAACTTCTGCTCTGGAGACAAAAAAGGAAGTCAGCAAAAATGATTTGTCAAAATAAAGATTGAAAACACAAAAATTTGTATATATTTTGGTGTAGATGATTCTTTAGATCTTTAATCTTTATTTTTGCCTTGACAACTGTCAAAATATGCTTTGTCTAATAAATAATTCTCCTTTATTCTAATGTACTTTATTTCTTCCCTCAGGCGTTCACTGCTCGTGTGTGACCATTCGGCGATTTTTATATGCCAAAGTTTTTAAATAAAATTAGTATATATTTTGGTGTAGATGTTTCTTATGATTATTCTAGTAATGATTTATCCTCAATTTCATATAATAATATAAAAAATACAAAACTTTGAGATTTAATGTGTGAGCTTTAACTCCAAACTCATTGCTGAGGTTCAATGTTTGCTCTGAGAAGTTAAATGAATCAAATTTATTGAATGGTAAGTTTCAATTTAATAGTCTTTTTGTCTGATGATAGGAAATCTTTAACTTATACAAATTTTAAAGAATTTCTCATATATTGCAGTCAAAAATTCAGAGTGTTAATAAACATTTTATTAAGCAATAATCAACATTTTAAAGCTCACACCAACTTTAAAATCCATTTGAAATCAACTTTTAGGAAAGAAAACATAATAATCATATGAGCTTAAAGTTTTAAAAGTTGCCGATAGTTCACTAATATTCATTATTTAAACATTTATTTAGATTTATCTAATAGGCAAAGGTAATACAATATTTTTTTTATATACGATATTTTCTTAAATTTTGTATTATTAATATTCAGAACAAAAATATTTAAAAGATGTTATATACAAACATTAGAAAAAAATTGTTTTAATATAAATTTTTTTTTTTTTTACAGTGTAGTCTGTGTCTCAAACGTTAACGAGAATTGTTTTGTGTCAGTCTCAGAAATTCAATGCACTCCAGCAAATTTTATATTTCATAAAAATATTATGAATTCATTAGCGAAAATATTTTTATCACTTAAAACTTGCCCTTTTGTCTTTATTTTTATTGCTCTATTAGCATTGTATTTACTTAATATTGCTTGTAACTTGTTGTATAGCTTCTTAAGAATATTATTAACTTTATTGTTTAATGATAAAATTTGATCCCATAAAAATATGCTGGTATTGGCACGATTGGCATATGCAGCTTGGTAAACTGCAAAACACATCAAATTTAATTTTAAGAGTAAGAAAGATGTGCCAATTAATGATTTACCTGATAGAGTGTCATTGCCACTAAAAGCAGTAGAGAATTTAATTACTTTAGAAAAAATAGTAAAAGACAAGAATATACTTAAGCAAATGGTAATTATTTGTTTTGATTTGTTTTTACATATCGTATAATATCTTTATACACTATATGTGCTCTAAACAAAATAGTCTTTTAGAGTTTTTTGTGAATAAGTTTTTATACAAACTTAAGTCTAAACAAAAGTAACTTTAATTATTGCACGGTTGTATAATTTATCAAGTAAATTATTTTGGAGAAATTTGATGGAAGACGAAGGAGATTGTAAATGTTATTTACTAAGAATAGTTTTTAAAAACGGCATAGCTGTAAAAGTAAACTTTGCAAGGAAAGGACGAAAATCGGAATAGGAAAAATATTGATTGCATATGTTGCTTTTGGTTAGTGGTTTAAAAAATTTATTTTTTTTAGTATCAATTTTGCATTAAATTAATGTAATATTGCTATTATATTTAGCTTGTTATTTTTTTTGTGCATAATTAAAGAAATAAATTTTTTGAAGAAGCTGTTAAGTCAATTAAGCATGGTTTATGCAGGCATGTGATAGAGATGATGGAAGAAAAGATGATAATTGTGGTACTAAATATCATGAGCTAAACACGATTCATAAACAAGTAGCTCTGTCATTATCAAAACAACTCTATAAATCTTATAGGTAATTTTTTTCATTCAAAACTCAATGTCTTACTTTTTTGTTTATGTTTGGTATTTGCAATATGTATATTTAACGGAGAAATTATGTAAAATAAATAAATAAATTTTTATATTTATATTATACATTTTTGCTTTTATTTCTCTACAAATTTCAAAGTAGCGATGCAAATCATTTATTTGTAACAACGCATAATTTGCATAAAATAACGCATAATTTGCATAAATTACCAGGCCAATATACAGCATTTGTTGTTGAAATCCAGTATATAGCTAATTTATAATATCATATGCCTAACGCTTTATACAATATTAGCCTAATGTTACAAACGGTATACAACGTTGGGCCAATGTTGTATACAACGTTAGGCCAATGTTTTGTACAGCGTTAGGCCAACGTTAGGTAAACATTGTATACAACAATGGGCCAATGTTGCACACAAAGTTGGTTCGATGCCTAACCAATGATCAAAATTATTATTGGACAACATCGAATTTTAACACTGGACCAATGTAACACCATGCATTGGCCCAACGTTGCGCTAACGTAAGCTTACTAGCTGGGATATGCTTTCGTCACTTTTATGCATTAAATGTTTTTTTTATATACTTTGTTTACTGCATCAATATTTGCAAAACTTATGCCATTATTTAATGCCATTATTTAAAACCCCTTTTTTTGTTTCATGGTGTCTACTTACTCCAAGTTTTGTACAATCACTCATAAAATGGCATTTTAGTAATCGGTGAGTATAGCTCTGGCAAAGTTACATACTATTTAGTTATTAACCCTAACTTATTTGCAAAATAGCAGAACTAATTATATTCATTTAGATGAAGCTTTAAACTAAACAATCATTTAAGAAAACTTGTTTAGATGTATTTTTTGAAACATAAAACTGTTTATATGTTACTTCATTCACATTCATGTTATTTTAATTGCAAGTTTTGTAGTTTTGGGTAAATATTTTGTAAAATATTTTGTCTGCTATCAATTAATATCTTAAACAAATGCAAATAAAGGTAAAATCTAAACATTATATTATTACTAATGTAAACGTTTTGAGGAAAAAAAAGATTTATACAAGTTTGTAAAGAAAAGGTTTTCTTAGTATTTTCTTCTGTATGAAATTTTCTGTATTAGTTTTTTTCTGAGTTAAATTTTCTGTATTCTGTATTGTTTTGTGAATTTTATAAGGCTAATATGACTTAAACGTTATGAAAAAACATATTTAAAAATAATAGAAAGTATAAAAAACAAAAACTATTTTAACTGTTTTAGTAATCTCACCTTCTAACTCTATTTTTTTTTCGATCACAACATCTGAACGCTTGATAGATTCTAAATCTTTTAAACTCAATTTATTAAATAATACTAAATGTAAGAAGTTCAACTTTAAGACGTAAAAAAACAAAATTGCAATGTTTAAAATGTGTTAATAAAAAATAATATAAAAATCAATATATCTTATAAAAATAATATTAAAAAGATTTAATCAAGTAACAATAAAACTAAAAAACTTAAAGTTGATTTACACAACTTGTTTTTGTTGAAATGCACCATGTAAATATACAAAATAATTTTCTTGTTTTGCAGTTTTGTGAAACATGCAAATTAAATCAAAACATTTACATGATGAACTTTAAATCTTTAAGTTTAAGGGAAAAGAGGAAAAATATATTTCTTCCGTTTAGTAATTTTTACCTCCCGATTCCACTTTATTTTCAACAATTTTATCTGTACAGCTTGCAGTCTTTAACTCGTTTGAATTCAAATTATTGCTTGACACAATATTTTTAAAGTTCAATTTTATGATGTAAAAAATAAAGTTTTAAGTTTAATAATGATTTATAAATAGCTAATAAAAATCAGTACATCTTATTAAGACAATATTTTAAAAATTATATTGCATTAGAAAAAAACTTAATGAATGTATTTATATAGGCGATAAACATACAAGTTATTTTGGTAACAATTATGATTACTGAAACCCAGACAGCAAGCTTACATTGGCCGAGCGTAAGTTTTAATTTTGGCAAGTTTATTCCGTTGGGCCAACAATTAGCCAATGCTTTTTTTCGACGTATTATTTTCAATTCTGATAATCGGTTTTTTGAAAATATCGTACTATATTGAGCCAACATTTAGTCAATGTATTTTTTGTCGGCGTAAAATTGTAATTCTACAAATCGGTTTTTTGCAATACTAGCCAATGCTTTACAAAGCAATTTTACCTAGCAATTTTTACAATAATAGCCAATGCTTTTTTTCGACGTATTATTTTCAATTCTGATAATCGGTTTTTTGAAAATATCGTACTACGTTGGGCCAACATTTGGCCAATGTAGTTTTGGCTTGATATTTTGCTATAAAAATCTGATCTTAAAATAAAGAAGCTATATTTATGAATCTTCTAAGAATCTTAAAAAGTTCCTTATAAGAAATAAATTTCAAGAGATTCTCGTGACTTAATGTTTTGTTTTTTTAAATAATGAAATATTTGATAGCATTTAAATAATATGCTTAAAACATTTTTTACTACTACCTAAATTATTAATGTAATAATAAAGGCAATAATTAAATTATTTTTGTGTAAGATGTAATGTTATTTTTTTATACTTATTGCTGTATTGGAATTTCAAATGTTTGATTTATTTAATAATCTTATTAAATAAATGTAACATTTCAAATGTTCGATTTATTTAATAAAGAATTTAATAAATATTTTAAATTCTTTTCGATTAAATATATCAAACATTTGAAATGTCATACAGTATAAGTATTGAAAAAAAAAAAAATTTGTTTCATAATTTACTTATAATAGTTTAGATTATATAGCTATTATAAGATATATTATTAAAAGTATCAATAATATATATCATATATTTTATATCATACATATATAATATACAATAATATATATCATGTATATTATATCATACATATATAATATATGTGGCATTGAAGTTGTTAGAAGCTGATATTTTACATTTTAAGTATGTCTTTTTTGTTTGATTTTTTCTCTGTTTGATTGTGAAACCCCATCTACAATATATTAAAACAGTGTACAAAAAGTGATGTTACTAGAATTTATATTCTACTTATGTAGAGCTTTCTAATATTGCCAGACATTTTATTTTAAGACCAATGACTAGTCTATAATAATTGATTGAATTATGAGATTAAATCAATAAATAATTATTAAAAACAATTAAAATAAAAAGACTTAATTTGAATCATTATTTTTATTTGTATAATTTAAATCATGATTTAAATCAAAACAACCCTTTATTTATTCCATTTTCTAAGGCAGAAGGACATTATTCTTGGTTTTATTATTTTTTAATTTAATATCTCTGGATATTTTTTATATTTAGTTTGCGTACAACAGTTAACAACTTTAAACTTATACATTAATTTTATTTATAACTTAATTATTAATGATTTGATTTATAGATTTTTATAGCAATACAAGATTGAATTTAGCAGAAGGTTAAACTTCTGCTCTGGAGACAAAAAAGGAAGACAGCGAAAATGACCAGCCAAAAAAAGATTTAAGAAACAAAAAATTGTGTATATTTTGGTGTAGATAATTTATCCTCAGTTTCTTATAATAAAGCAAAAAGTATTATTAAACTTTGGGATTTACCTGTAACTCCAAACTCTTTAAAGAAGTTCAATGTTTGCTCTGAAAAGTTTAATGAACAAAATTTATTAAATGGTAAGTTTTTATATAAAAGTCTTTATGTCTGATGATTGAAAATCTTTATTCATAGCTTTAACTTTTACAATTTTAAAGATTTTTTCATATATTACGATCAAAAAGTCAGAGTGTTAATTACCATTTTATTGTATAATAATCAACATATCAAAGTTTATACCACAGGCTTAGTCGGGAAGCGGGAGCGATCGCTCTTGAATGCTGACCACCGAAATTATATTTAGTTGCGAAAAACTGGCCAGGTTTTTTAGTCGTTTTGAGAACATTTAAGTTTATGGACGTAACAAAAATTTTTTGTTGGATTTCAAAGTTGGTGTCACCAACTTTAAAATCCATTCGAAATCAACTGTTGAAAAAAAACAGTTGATTTTGAATGGAGTATACATATCAGTTTAAAGTTTTAACAGTTGCTGCTGGTTCATTTTTATTCATTATATAAACGTTTATCTAAATTTATCTAATAGACGAAGGTAATACAATGTTTTTATAGATCATATTATTTTTAAAAATTGTATTAAAATTCAGAACTAAAACATGTAAAAAGTCAGGGAATTATTATTATTATTATTTTTTTTTAGATAGTCATGGAAAAATCAGTAATTCTAGTTAAGAAGTTACTCGTTTCACAATTTAACGCTGTATTGTGAAAACGTGTCACACTTTTTTTTTAAAAGTGAGGTTATTTGAAAAGAATATTTTTTTTAGGAAAAGGTAAAATTATAAGATCAAATAAATATTTTTTAGATAAATAAAACAATTTTTAGATAAAATAAAAATAAAATTTTTTACAGGAGAGATGTTTGTCATTTTCCTGCAAAATTTTAATTTTGTGACTTGTCACATTTTCAAAATACAGCTCTCAATTAAGCTATCATGTTTTTTTTGGTGCTACCCATTTATTTTTTCTGAAACTTGTTATATTTATGATACAGCTCTCAATTGTAGCTTAATAGCTATGTTTTTACAAAATACAAAATACAGCCTCAATTAAGCTATGTATTTCTTAGTGTTCATTCTAAGTCATCCTTAATAGTGAGATCCATACTAACATGTATAATAAAATCCATACTAATATCCAACTTAACTAATAGCTTAACTAATAAGTAAAGTTTAAGTTTTGTCATTCAAAGCATGTACAATCTTGGCATTTCCATTACAGCAGATAGTAATTTTCAAAATTTTGTAAAAACCATTGTTAAAAATGGTCAGGGAAATTCATCTAATTTTTCAAAAATGTCATTGAATTTTATATAAATAGTTGGCTAAGAACCCTGTTGGATAAACATTGTTTTAATATGAATTTTTTTGTTTTACATTGCAATATATATCTCAAATATTAACGAGAATTGTTTTGTGTCAGTCCCAGAAATTGAATGCACACCTTCAAATTTCATAATTCATAAAAATATTATGAACCCATTAGCAAGTATATATTTTTATTATTAAAAATTAACCCCTCTGTCTTTAATTTTTTCTGTTTTTATAGTGGTTGTTGTATTTACTTTCATAAATTCTAAATATAATATGTAATTAGTTGTATAGTTTCTACATAATATAAATAACTTTAATGTTTCAAGATAAAGTTGTATCCTTGAAAGATATGCTGGTATTTTTGGCACAATGGCCAAGCATTGATGTGCAACTTGGTGAACTACAAAATACATCAAATTCAGTTATAAAAATTTGAATAACAAAGGTATGCTAATTATTCTATTGCTTAAAAGAGTGTCATTGCCATTAAAAGCAGTGAAGAATTCAAGTACTCTGGAAGAAAAAAGACAAGAAAACACTTAAGTAAATGGTAAATATTTTTTTACAATTTATATACTTTAAATAAAATACTCTTTAAAGATTTTTTGTAAATGACATTTTATATTAATTTAAGTCGAAACAAAAGTTATTTTAATTATTGTCAGGTTGTGTATTTTTGCAGGTTAATTATTTGGCATAAATTGGAGTTAAAGACAAAGGAGATTGTATATATTATTTACTAAGAATTGTTTTTTAAAATGGCTGTAAAATTAAACTACGAGAGGACAAAAACTTGGAATGGGAAAAATGTTGATTGCATATGTTGCTATTGGTAAGTTGTTTAGAAAAGTTTATTTTTTCAGTTTCAATTTTGCATTACAGAATTACTTTCAATTTGTTATATTTCTTTGGTGCATGATTAAACAAACAACTATTTTTTTTGCAGAAACTGTGAAGTCAAATAAGCATGGCTTATGCAGACATGTGATAGAGATAGCGGAAGGAAATATAATAATCGTGGGCACCAAATATCATAAGCTAAACACAATTCAATAACAAGTAGCTCAGCCAATATCGAAACTACTCTATAAATTTTATTGTGAGTTTTTTTATTTAAAACTCAACGTGTCAGTTTTTATTTTAAGATTTGGTGTTTACAATGTGTATATTAAACCATAAAATTATGTTAAATAAATAAATTTTTATACTTGTATCATACATTCTTTTTTTTCTTTATAATTTTTTACAGTAGTGATGCAAATCATCTTATTTGTAACAATGATCTAATGTTGTATAAAACGTTAGGCCGATATAAAAATAATAATTGTATAACATACGATATTGGGCTAATGTTGTATACAACGTAGGGCCAATTTTGTATACAACGTTGGCACGATGTTGTATACAATGTTGGGCCAATGTTGTTTACAATATTGGCCTAACGTTATATACAACGTTGGGCCAATGTTGGGTAAACGTTGTATACAACATTGGGTCAATATTGTACACAATGTTGGGCCACTACCTAACCAATGATCAAACCTGCATTGGGCCAACATCGATTTTCAACGTTGGGCCAATGCATCATCATGCATTGGCTAAACGTTGGGCCAATGTAAGCTTGCTGTCTGGGAATGTATAATGTCACAAGTAAAAGTACCTCAATCCGGACAGTCCGTAAAAGCGGACACATCGAAAAAACTAAAGGACTTTACTAAAAATAAAGGTATTTTCAAAATTTAAAAAATATTTTAATTTTTAGTGTGTGGAAAATTTACAATAATTAAAAAAAGTATTCAGATTATTGCTTTTATAAGATATTTAAGTTCCAACAAAATTTAAAACTGAAAATCAAACTTTATTTTGAAATTAGGTTCTTTGTTTGAAAGTTTTAAAAAGGCAATTTAAAAACAAAGGATGGATGTTTTGTTGGAAATTTTCAACTTACTTTAAAAATAATTTTAGCTTTTTATATTCTTACTCCGTTAAAATGTTATGATTAAAATAAAGTTTTCTTTAGTTTTCACCTTAAACCGGACACAATAAATTTACCCTATTACCATTAAAAATTAAATAGGTTAATTATTTCTTTACTCTAATCGCGAGAAAACAATTTTATTAATTTTTTACACTTTCTGAATTTTTTTCATTTGTGTAATTTACGTTTTCACACCGTGTTAATTAATATTGTACTTTCGCACTTATACATATAAGTGCATAATTATTGTACTTCGTGTTAATTAATTTGGTTCTTTCGCACTTATGCTGTTGAAGTTAAAGTGCAAAAGTACACAAAGTAACCACAAAAGTGCATGGTTTCTTAAATTTCAAAAATCTGTATTTGAATTGAATTTATTAAACTTATAATGGCAAAAAATAAAACAAACAAGAAGTATTATACTGAGAAGACAAAAAACACATTGGATAAGATTGAAAAATGGCGAGTTAAGCTTAAAAGAGGCGCAGCTCAATTCTACCCCATACCAAAATCAACGTTATCCGACAGAAAGTCAAATAACACTTTAGCGTTTCGTATAGGCAATACAACAAAATTGAGCACTTTTATCAAGTTAACCTTGGTTCACCTTCTTCTAATGCTTGGCGATTAGGGCTTTGGTAGACGATTGGATCAAATTCAAAAGTTAGTGAGAGACTATTTATTTAAAAATGATGAAACGTGTTTTTTCAAAAATGAAACGCCTGGTCGCAAATGTTACAAAGGATTTTTGAGTCGATGGCACTCAAAACTAAGCAAAAGAACAGCTGCAAGCATTGCATCTTTGAGAGCAGGGCTATGCACAGTGTGCATAATTTTTGGTTTCATAATTTCTGGTGCGCATTGCACACCAGAAATTATTACCCGTAAATTTGATGTCTTGAAAAAATATTTTATTATTTTTATTTTAACCATGCATTTGTAGAAAATTTTATGATAAAACTGGTTTCATTGGTGACAAAGGCAATGCGAAATTAATTACCAGAATAGGTGCCAAGTTTCCACTAGTTTTAACTGGAAATAACGTAAAAACAAATTACATTGTTCCTTATTGAGTTAATGATGACGGTTTCCTTTTATTGTTTTTTGCTGTTTACAAAGAATCGGCTCAGTGATCATTCGATTAAAAGAGACCCTCCAAACATACTTTACACAATATCACCATATGGTTGGATGAGAAGTAATCAATTTTTGCAATGGCTTGATAAAAATTTTATATCTCATATTCAAAAAAATGGTTTTCAACATATTTTACTTTTGGATGGCCACAGTACACACGTGTAACTAAGTCTAGCCTTAAAGTGTAAAGAAAACAGTATAACACTAATTTGCATTCCTGCCCATTCATCTCACATTTTGTAGCCTCTTGACGATAGTGTATTTTTCCATGTTAAAGATGTTTCGCTTGATATTTTAAGAATACTTTATGCTGAAAGTGGTTTTAGCAACTTGTCCAAAAAACTTTCCCAAGTCTTCTTCCACAGTATAGAAGCAAAAAAGCTTATACTCGTACTCAAAATTTTGCTGGTTTTGAAATCACTGGGCTTTTTCCATTAAATCAAGACAAAATTGACAAATTAAAATTACAAATTTGTCAAATTTTCAATAACACATTAATAACATCTTTAGCAGTTACAAAATCATCACGCAGCCCTAGTTCTTTGCTTCGAACAGCTCAACAAACACAAACCTTAACTACACCTGTAACTTCATTTTCAGATTTAAATTTAACTTCTCAAGAAGAAATAGCGACTCCTGTAAATATCAGTCTTAAAAAAGCTCTCTTGTAGCAATTTCAGTTCCAAAACGCTTACAAGCATCCTGCAAAAAAAAGCCAGAAATGTTAGAACAGTGGCTAGTCAAGCTTTTACAAAAGAAGCATGGTTAAACAGTTTAAGAGAAGAAAAAAACGTGAAGCTATTAAAACGAATATACGTTGAATTTGCAGCAGCAGAAGTAGAAACTCAGAAACTCTTTTTGGCCCAGAAACCCAAAAAGTACATAAAGTGCTCAAGGTTTTTCAAAAATGAAAAACAAAAGATGCAAGTTTCATAGAAAACTTCTGAAAAATCAAGTTGCAATTGGTGGCATCGTGAATCTTGTCTCTTAAAAAGATATATGAAAAGCAAAAAAATAATTTGCGCGAAAAGTTGCAGAACCTAGTTTATGCATTTTTTATTTTTATTTCAAGCTCAAGCTTGTTTATGTTTTTTTATTTGTTTTTTTCTAGCTTTTTTCTGCTTGTATTATTATTATATGTATATTTTAACAATAAAAATAAAAGTATTGAAGTTATAAATGTATCTATGATTTTTTTTATATAATTTGAAACTTTTTAAAACAAAATCTTAATTTTCATAAAAACTTTAAATGATTTTTCTTTCTTTAACACTGCAGAATTGCTTTAATAAACAACTCTATTCCAGAAAAAATAAACCTACAAATTCTCAATAATGAAAAAGTTAATCACTTTTTGTGAAGAGTGTCCGGTTTGCGTTCCTTTTACTCCATGTACAAAGAAAATTAATCTGTTTTACAATTTTGTAATATATGCAAATACTTCAAATACATTCACACGAGAGATTTACAATAATATATATATTTAAAATCTTTTAGTAAAAATGAGTAAACAAATCAATAAAAAAACGTTTTTTCCGTTAAGTAATTTTTACCTCCCGATTCCACCTCATTTTCAATCACTATATCTGCACAACTAACCAACTTTAACTCTATTGAATTAAAATTAATGCTTGACACTAAATGTAAGAAGTTCAATTCTGAGATGTGAAAAATAAACAAACCAAGTATATAGAAAACTTAAAATAAAAACAAAACATAAATCAGTATAGATTATTAATATAATGTATAAAATGTTATATAACATAATAATAAAACTCAAAAAGTAGAGTTAAATGATAACTCGCATACAAACATTTTAATCTTGTTTAAAAACATATATATATTATTGTAAATGCATAATGTAAATTTAATAATACGATTTGCATGTTTTACAAATTTGTAAAAAAGGCAAAATATATTGTATATTCAAATTAAGCATTTTAACAATTATAATTATTACCAAAACGACTTGAATGTAAATTAACTTTTAACTACATTTAATCAATTTTTATTGTTAAGTGATAGATTTTTTTATATTTTTTAATAAGTTATACTGATTTTTGTATATACTAATATATTTTATCAAGCAGAAGATAATGAATCATTAAAAAAAGAGTTTCTTTAGTTTTGAAATTTTATACCTCTCGAGTCCAACTCATTTTCAATAACTGTATCTGCGCAGCTAACACACTTTAGTCCTATTAAATTCAAATCATTGCTTGAAACAACGTATAATGTTTAATTTTAAGATGTAAAAAATAAAATTTCAAAGTTTAAAGGCTACAAAACTTATAAAACATAAAATAAAATAAAAACAACATAAATTATTAGAATAATATTTAAAAAATAATATCACCCAACAATCAATTTTAATAAATATAATTAAAAAGTGATTTATATGCAAATCATTTAGTAAAAGCTATGGTTATCGAATGCATCATGTATATTTATAAATATAACTTGCACGTTTTATACTTTTGTTAAACATGACATCTTATTAGTTGAATATGCAAATATTATTAGTCAAGTACGCACATCGTATTAGATTTACTTAATGCATTTGCAATAAAACATTTTTTTTTACATGTTAGTACAGAGAAAATAATAAATCAATTAAAAGCATTTGTTTATCATTTTTTACCTTCTGATTCCGCCCTGTTTTCTATCGCTATATCTGTACAACTAAGCGACTTTAACTCTTCTACTAAATTCAAATTATTGCTTGACACTAAATGTATAAAGTACATTTCTAAGATGTAAAAAAACAAAATCTCAAAGTTTATAGATGATTCATATAAACAACAAAATAAAAACTAATAATAATTTCATATGATTTCAATATAAATCAATATAAAAAGTTATATTACATAACAATAAAAATTAAAAAATAGAGTTAAAAGGTGATTTGTATACAAAATAAATATTTTAAACATTTGTTTGAAAATAAGTATTTTTGTAAATGCATAAGGTAATTTACAAATATGATTTGCACTTTTTTAGAAAATTGTAGAAAACAAAAAGTATATTTGTATAATTAAAAAACAAAATAAAAATCAGTTTAACTTATTAAAATAATGTTTACAAAAAAATACCACTCAGCATTAAAATTTTATAAATATAATTAAAATGTGACTTATATATAATTCATTTGATAATCACTGTGGACCAGAGTGACCGCCAGGTCAAGTTGTTCCCGAGGTCTTATTCTTTTTCACTAGTTGGGTATACATTAGTAGAAACGATTTGTGAAATTAAAAACTTCTGAGTGAATGGACAAAGCCTAAAAAAAGTTGCTCTAAAATACCTTTTTTTAGCCATAAAATTTTAATAAATTTGGTGAAAGTCCGTAAAATTATTAAGTTGTGTATTCAATGTTGGAATGTTTACATAAAACGTTCGTTGTTTGTTTTATACAATTCGGTAAAAAGTTATCTAAAATTCAAAAGATTACTCCAGAAATTAAAACAAATATAAAAATTTTCGCCTGGAGCCAGTATAGTTTAGTTAAGGTGGAGGACCAAGGAAACTAGATAGAATAGACATCCAAAGTAGAATTCATGTTAATCTGTTGTTTTTTTTATATAATATATGTATTTATATATATATTCTTTATTTTCAGGATAATTATTTCAATAAAGTTAACTTATATAATGCCTAGAAATTGCAAAAGCTCACCAAACGCCTTTTATTACATTTGTGGGCAATTTACATTGTCAGGGCAGCAAAAGAAAATCACTCCAGAAATCTCGAACTTTACAAACTGTATTTTGGTTGTCCTTTGGGAGATCAAGATAAAACTTGGGCCCTACGTGTGGCTTGTTGTTGTTGCAGCTTAATACGAGATTGGATCAACAAACAAAGGTCTTCTTTTCGATTTGCTATACCGATGATTTGACTGCTATTGTTGCACTATTTATACTTCTGGATTTTCGTCGAAAAGTAAGTACCAAATTGTGTACCCGAATTTGGATTTGGCCATGAGACTTGATCCTCATGACAGCATCCTGCTCATTCCAATACCACCAGCTAATGGATTAGACTCTGTTGAAGACGAATGTGTTGTTGACGTTGAACGTTAAGATGCGGCTAATATTGACTTCGATCCAGATATTGACGGCAAGGAGCCCAAAGTTTTCACACGAGGTAAACTGAATGATTTGGTTAGAGACTTGTCCCTTTCCAATAAAAAAGCTCAACTTTTGGCGTCAAGACTATAAAAAAAAGAATTTGTTAGCACTTGGTGTCTAAGTATCCCAATTTTGAAAGCGCATCGACGATTTATTAAAGTTTTTCATCATTGATGGACCCTTGTGCTACTGCAATAATGTCAATGGTCTTTTCGAAAATTTATCCCAAGTGCATTCGTCTCGTGATTGGCGCCTCTTCATTGATTTATCCAAGAGGAGTTTAAAGGCCGCGTTGTTGCCTATTAGCAATCAGAAGCCATGTATTCCAATCGCTCAATCCGTACACTTAAATGAAACTCACAAAAATATAAAAATTTTACTAGACGCTATTGAATTCAAAGCTTATCAGTGAAACATTTGTGGTAATTTGAAAGCGATTGGTATATTAATGGGTATACAAACAGGGTTTACCAAGTTCTGCTGCTTTCATTGTTTATGGGATAGTCGTGCTGTGAACGAACATTACGTAAAACGCGATTGGATATTGAGAACTGAATATGAACCCGGTGTAGGCAGCGTTCACCATTTCCACTAGTTGATCCAAAAAAAATATTTTTTCCACCGCTTCACATCAAGCTTGGTTTGATGAAAAATTTTGAAAAAGCATTAGGTAAAACTGAATCAGCGGTTTTTCAAACTTGGTTGAAAAATTTCCAAAAATTAGTGCAACAAAACTCAAAAAAGGCGTTCTTGTCGGACCCCGAATTCGAGAGGTTTTGAAAGACCATGGATTTGAAGAGTCACTTACTTCCGATAAAAAAGAAGCGTGGAAATTGTTTGTATGGGTTCGAAAGAATTTTTTAGGGAATTACAAATTGTGTGAATATAAAATTGTATTCGAATTAAAAAGTTATTCGATTTTTTCCAAAAACAAGGGCTGTCGTATGTCATTGAAAATGCATTTTGACATTTTTTCCTGAAAATTTGGGCGCTGTGAGTGATGAACAAGGTGAACAATTCCACCAAGATATTCAAGTAATGGAAAAGCGCTTCTAAGGATTCTGGAATGAAAGCACGTTAGTTGACTACTATTGGATGCTTTATCGTGAGGAACCAGAAAAAGTCTACAAAAGGAAGTCATATTCACGGAGATTTTAAGTGATTTAAATGCTTTAGTCAACAGTCTTTAAACAATTAATTGTGTATAAACAATTATGAATAAACCTAGTCACAGAGACTTTGACTTATTTATATAAACATAAGTGGTGCATGAAATATTAAATCTTTTATTAATGTTTATGTATAGAGATAAAGTACAAAATGTGTAAAAGTTAAAACTCTAAACATCTCAAAAACTAGACGTGCTGGAAAAAAACTGAAAGCAGATTTGAAATTAGCGCAAAAAACTGGTTTAGAAAAAGTTTATTAGACTTATGGTGCATTAAAAAAGTATTTTTTTTTTTAACTAACTAACCCTATCTAACTAACTAACCCTATCTACTAACATATAAACAGAGTGTATAAAAAGTGATGTTACTAGAATCTAAATTCTTCTTTTCTAGAGCTTTCTATTATTGCTAAACATTTTATTATAAGACCAATAACTAGTTTATAATAAATGATTGAAGTATGAGATTAAATCAATAAATAATCATTAAAAACAATTAAAATCTAAAACCTCAATTTAAATCATGATTTAAATAAACTTAAATCTCGATTTAAATAAATTTAAACCATGATTTAAATTTATTTAAATCATTATTTAAAAAGATTTAAACTACGATTAAAACAATCAATTTATATCAAAACAACCCTGAATATATTCTATCTTTTTGAAGCAGAGGGATATTATTCTTGATTTTATTAGTTTTTAACTGTTTTTTATGGACATCGTTCATGATTAGTTTGCATACAACAGTTAATAACTTAAACCTTACACATTAACTTTAGTTATAACTTAATTATTAATGAGTTTGATTTATAGATTTTTTTAGAAAATGTAAGATTGAACTTAGCAAAAGGCTAAACTTCTGCTCTAGAGACAAAAAAGAAAGTCAGCAAAAATGATTAGCAGAAATAAAGATTGAAAACACAAAAAATTGTAGATGTTTCTTTAGATTATTCTAGTAAAGATTTATCCTCAATTTTATATAATACTAAACTTTGAGATTTACCTTTAACTCCAAACTCATTGCTGAGGTTCAATGTTTGCTCTGAGAAGTTAAATGAATCAAATTTATTGAATGGTAAGTTTCAATTCAATAGTCTTTTTGTCTGATTATAAGAAATCTTTATTCATTGCTTTAACTTTTACAAATTTTGAAGACTTTCTCATATATTACAGTCAAAAAGTCAGAGTTTTAATAAACGTTTTATTAAGCAATAATCAACATTTTAAAGCTCACACAAACTTTAAAATCCATTTGAAATCAACTTTTAGGAAAGAAAACATAATAATCATATGAGTTTGAAATTTTAAAAGTTGCCGATAGTTTACTATTATTCATTATATAAACATTTATTTAGATTTATCTAATAGACAAAGGTAATACAATATTTTTTTATATACGATATTTTCTTAAATTTTGTATTATTAATATTCAGAACAAAAATATTTAAAAGATATTATATACAAACATTAGAAAAAAATTGTTTTAATATAATTTTTTTTTATTTTTTTACAGTGCAGTCTGTATCTCAAACGTTAAGGAGAATAGTTTTGTGTCTGTCTCAGAAATTGAATGCACACTAGCAAATTTTATAATTCATAAAAATATTATGAATTCATAAGCAAGATTATTTTTATCACTTAAAACTTGCCCTTGTGTCTTTATTTTTATTGCTCTATTAGTATTGTATTTACTGACATAAGTTCTAAATATTACTTGTAACTTGTTGTATAGCTTCTTAAGAGTATTATTAACTTTATTGTTTCAAGATAAAATTTGATCCCATAAAAATATGCTGGTATTGGCACGATTGGCAAGCATTCAAGTGCAACTTGGTAAACTGCAAAACACATCAAATTTAATTTTAAGAGTAAGAAAAATGTGCCAATTAATGATTTACCTGACAGAGTGTCATTGCCACAAAAAGCAGTAAAGAATTTAGTTACTTTAAAAAAAATAGTAAAAGACAAGAATATATTTAAACAAATGGTAATTATTTGTTTTGATTCGTTATTACATTTTGCATGATATCTTTATACACTTTATGTGCTCTAAACAAAATAGTCTTTTAGGGTTTTTCGTGAATAAGTTTTTATACAAATTCAAGTCTAAACAAAAGTAACTTTAATTATTGCACGGTTGTATCTTTTATCAAGTAAATTATTTGGGAGAAATTTGATGGAAGACGAAGGAGATTGTAAATGTTATTTATTAAGAATAGTTTTTAAAAACGGCATAGCTGTAAAATTAAACTTTGCAAGGAGAGGACGAAAATCGGGATAGGAAAAATATTGATTACATATGTTGCATTTGGTAAGTGGTTTAGAAAAGTTATTTTTTCAGTATCAATTTTGCATTACATTAATGCAATATTGCTATTACATTCAGTTTGTAATTTTTTTTTGTGCATAATTAAAGAACTAAATTTTTTGAAGAAGCTGTTAAGTCAAATAAGCATGGTTTATGCAGCATGTGATAGAGATGATGGAAGAAAAGATGATAATTGTGGTACTAAATATCATTAGCTAAACACGATTCATAAACAAGTAGCTCTGTCATTATCAAAACAACTTTATAAATCTTATAGGGAATTTTTTTCATTCAAAACTCAATGTGTTACTTTTTTCTTTATGTTTGGTATTTGCAATATGTATATTTAACGGAGAAATTATGTAAATTAAATAAATAAATTTTTATATTTGAAATTATACATTTTTGCTTTTATTTCTCTACAAATTTTAAAGTAGCGATGCAAATCATTTATTTGTAACAACGATCTAATTTTGCATAAAATACTAGGCCAATATACAGCATTTGTTGTTGAAATCCAGTATATAGCTAATTTATATTATCATTTGCCTAACGTTTTATACAATATTAGCCTAATGTTTTTGGGCCAATTTTGTATACAACGTTAGGCCAATGTTTTATACAACGTTGGGCTAACGTTAGGTAAATATTGTATACAACAATAGGCCAATGTTGCACACAAAGTTGGTTCGATGCCTATCCAATGATCAAAATTAAAATAGGACAAGATCGAATTTTAACACTTGGCCAATGTAACACCATGCATTGGCCCAACGTTGCGCTAACGTAAGCTTACTAGCTGGGATATGCTTTCGTCACTTTTATGCATTAAATTACATGTCTTTTTTATATACTTTGTTTACTGCATCAAGATTTGCAAAACCTATGCCATTATTTAATGCCATTATTTAAAACATCTTTTTTTGTTTCATGGTTGCTACTTACTCCAAGTTTTGTACAATCATTCATAAAATGGCATTTTAGTAATCGGTGAGTATAGCTCTGGCAAAGTTACATACTATTTAGTTATTAACCCTAATTTATATGCAAAATAGCAGAACTAATTATATTTATTTAGATGAAGCTTTAAACTAAACAATCATTTAAGAGAACTTGTTTAGATGTATTTTTTGAAACATAAAACTGTTTATATGTTACTTCATTCACATTCATGCTACTTTAATTGCATGTTTTTTAGTTTTGTTTAAATATTTTGTAAAATATTTGGTCTGCTATCTATTAATATCTTAAACAAATGCAAATAAAGGTAAAATCTAAACATTATTTTATTACTAATTTAAATTTTGATATGTTTTTATTTTTAAAAGATTTTTAAAGTCTACATATAGATTGAATTTATCAAATACATATTATCTTAACAATGTTTTTTCTACTAAGCGTGAAAAAAAGAGCTACAGATTAACAGATTGTAAAAATATTCACAGTTCTGGCCTGATGCTAAAACACTCCCGAACATAAAAAAGCCTAAGGATTAGAACTTTACCTACAGCATGATCCACTGTTAAAAAAAACATAGGGTAACTCTTCAGATATTTTTAACAATTTTAACAAAAATTGTTTTCAGCAACGTTTTGAGGAAAAAAAAGATTTATACAAGTTTGTAAACAAAAGGTTTTCTTAGTATTTTTTTCTGTATGAAATTTTCTGAATTAGTTTATTTCTGAATTAAATTTTCTGTATTCTGTATTGTTTTGTGAATTTTATAAGGCTAATATGACTTAAACGTTATGGAAAAGCATATTTAAAAATAATAGAAAGTATAAAAAACAAAAACTATTTTAACTGTTTTAGTAATCTCACCTTCTAACTCTATTTTTTTTTCGATCACAATATCTGAACGCTTGATAGATTCTAAATCTTTTAAACTCAATTTATTAAATAATACTAAATGTAAGAAGTTCAACTTTAAGACGTAAAAAACCAAAATTGCAATGTTTAAAATGTGTTAATAAAAAATAATATAAAATAAATATATAAATCAATATATCTTATAAAAATAATATTAAAAAGATTTAATCAGGGAACAATAAAACTAAAAATAATGAAACTTAAAGTTGATTTACACACAAGTTGTTTTTTGTAATAAATATTGTTAAAATGCACCATGTAAATATACAAAATAATTTTCTTGTTTTGCAATTTTGTGAAACATGCAAATTAAATCAAGACATTTACATGAGGAACTTTAAATCTTTAAGTTTAAGGGAAAAGAAGAAAAATATATTTCTTTCGTTTAGTAATTTTTACCTCCTGATTCCACTTTATTTTCAACAATTTTATCTGTACAGCTAGAAGTATTTAACTCGTTTGAGTTCAAATTATTGCTTAACACAATATCTATAAAGTTCAATTTTATAATGTAAAAAATAAAGTTTTAAGTTTAATAATAATTTATAAATAACTAATAAAAATAAGTACATCTTATTAAAACAATATTTTAAAAATTATATCGCATTAGAAAAAAACTTAATGGATGTATTTAAATAGGCGTTAAACATACAAATTATATTGGTAACAATTATGATTATTGAAATGTATAATGCCACAAGTAAGAGTACCACAATCCGGACAGTGCGTAAAAGCGGACACATCGAAAAAACTAAATGTCTTTATTGAAATAAAGTCACTTTCAAAATTTAAAAAATATTTTAATTTTAATGGTGTGGAAAATTACAATTATTAAAAAAAAAAAGTATTCAGATTATTGCTTTATAAGATATTTAAGTTCCAACAAAATCTAAAACTGAAAATCAAACTTTTTTTTGAAATTAGGTTCTATGTATGAAAGTTTTTAAAAGGCAATTTAAAAACAAAGGATGGCTGTTTTGTTGGAAATTTTCAGCTTATTTCAAAAATACTTTTAGTTTTTTATAATCTTACTTCGTTAAAATGTTATGATTGAAGTAAAGTTTTTTTTAGTTTTTATCTTAAACCGGACACAATAAATTTACCCTATAATCATTAAAAATTAAGTAGGTTAATTATTTCTTTACTCTAATTGCGATAAAATAATTTTATTAATTTCTTACACGTTCTGAACTTTTTTCATTTGTGTAATTTAAGTTTTTACACCGTGTTAATTTATATTGTACTTCCGCACTTATGCATATAAATGCTTAATTATTGTACTTCGTGTTAATTAAATTTGTTCTTTCGCACTTATGCTGTTGAAGTTAAAGTGCAAAAATACACAAAGTAACCAAAAAAGTGCATCGTTTCTTAAATTTCAAAAATCTGTATCTGAATTGAATTTATTAAACTTATAATGCTTTGGTAGACGATTGGATCAAATTCAAAGGTTAGTGGGAGACTATTTATTTAAAAATGATGAAACGTGTTTGTTCAATAATGAAACGTCTGGTCGAAAATATTACAAAAGATTTTTGAGTCGATGGCACTCAAAACTAAGCCAAAGAACAGCTGCAAACATGCATCTTTGAGAGCAGGGTCATGCACACCAGAAATTATTACCCGTTAATTCGATGTCTTGAAAAAATATTTTGTTATTTTTATTAAAGCCATGCATTTGCAAAAACTTTAATGATAAAACTGGTTTCATTTGTGACAAAGGCAATGCGAAATTATTTACCAGAATAGGTGCCAAGTTTCCACTAGTTTAAACTGGAAATAACGTAAAAACAAATTACATTGTTCTTAATTGAGTTAATGCTGACGGTTTCCTTTTATTGTCTTTTGCTGTTTACAAAGAATCGGCTCTGTGATCATTCGATAAAAAGAAACCCTCCAAACATACTTTACACAACATCACCATATGATTGGATGAGAAGTAATCAATTTTTGCAGTGGCTCGATAAAATTTTTATATCTCATACTCAAAAAATTAGTTTTCAACATATTTTACTTTTGGATGGCCACAGTACACACGTGTAACTAAGTGTAGCCTTAAAGTGTAAAGAAAACAGTATAACACTAATTTGCATTCCTGCCCATTCATCTCACATTTTGTAGCCTCTTAACGACAGTGTATTTTTCCATGTTAAAGATGTTTCGCTTGATATTTTAAGAATACTTTATGCTGAAAGTGGTTTTAGCAACTTGTCCAAAAAACTTTCCGAAGTCTTCTTGCACAGTATAGAAGCAATAAAGCTTATATTCGTACTCAAAATATTGCTCGTTTTGAAATCACTGGGCTTTTTCCATTAAATCAAGACGAAATTGACAAATTAAAATTACAAATTTGTCAAATTTTTAATAACACATTAATAACATCATTAGCAGTTACAAAATCATCACGCAGCCCTAGTTCTTTGCCTCAAACTGCTCAACAAATACAAACCTTAGCTACACCTGAAACTCTAATTTCAGATTTAAATTTAACTTCTTAAGAAGAATTAAGGACTCCTGTAAATATCAGTCTTAAAAAAAGCTCTCTTGTAGTAATTTCAATTCCAAAACGCTTACAAGCATCCTGCAAAATAAAGCCAGAAATGTTAGAACAGTGGCTAGTCAAGCTTTTACAAAAGAAGCATGGTTAAACAGTTTAAGAGAAGAAAAAAACGTGAAGCTATTAAAACGAATATACGATGAAATTGCAGCAGCAGAAGTAGAAACTCAGAAACTCTTTTTGGCCCAGAAACCCAAAAAGTACATAAAGTGCTCAAGGTTTTTCAAAAATGAAAAATAATAGATTCAAGTTTTATAGAAAACTTCTGAAAAATCAAGTTGCAGTTGGTGGCATTGTGAATCTTGTCTCTCAAAAAGATATATGAAAAGCAAAAAAACAATTTGCGCAAAAAGATGCAGAACCTAGTTTATGCATTTTTTATTTTTATTTCAAACTCAAGCTTGTTTATGTTTTTTTATTTGTTTTTTTCTAGCTTTTTTCTGCTTGTATTATTATTATATGTATATTTTAACAATAAAAATAAAAGTATTGAGTTTATAAATGTCTCTATGATTTTTTTTTATATAATTTGAAACTTTTTAAAAAAAAAAATCCATATTTTCATAAAAACTTCAAATGATTTTTCTTTCTTTAACACTGCAGAATTGCTTTAATAAACAACTCTATTCCAAAAAAAATAAACCTACAAATTCTCAATAATGAAAAAGTTAATCACTTTTTGTGAAGAGTGTCCGTTTTGCGTTCCTTTTACTCTATTTACAAAGACTCTATTTACAAAGAACCTGTTTTATAATTTTGTAATATATGCAAATACTTCAAATACATTCACACGAGAGATTTACAATAATATATATATTTAAAATCTTTTAGTAAAAATGAGTAAATAAATCAATAAAAATATGTTTTTTTCGTTTAGTAAGTTTTACCTCCCGATTCCATCTCATTTTCAATCACTATATCTGCACAACTAACTGACTTTAACTCTATTGAATTAAAATTAATGCTTGACACTAAATGTAAGAAGTTCAATTCTGAGATGTAAAAAATAAACAAACCAAGTATATAGAAAATTTATAATAAAAACAAAATATAAATCAGTATAGATTATTAATATAATGTATAAAATGTTATATAACATAACAATAAAACTCAAAAAGTAGAGTTAAATGATAACTCGCATACAAACATTTTAAACTTGTTTAAAAACATATATATTATTGTAAATGCATAATGTAAATTTAATAATACGATTTGCATGTTTTACAAATATGTGTGAAAGGCAAAATATATTTGTATATTTAAATTAAGCATTTTAATAATTATAGCTATTGCCAAAACGACTTGTATGTAAATTAACTTTTAACTAAATTTAATCAATTTTTATTGTTAAGTGATAGATTTTTTTATATTTTTTAATAAGTTATACTGATTTTTGTATATACTAATATATTTTATCAAGCAGAAGATAATGAATCATTAAAAAAAGAGTTTCTTTAGTTTTAAAATTTTATACCTCTCGAGTCCAACTCATTTTCAATAACTGTATCTGCGCAGCTAACACACTTTAATCCTATTGAATTCAAATCATTGCTTGAAACAACGTATAATGTTTAATTTTAAGATATAAAAAATAAAATTACAAAGTTTAAAGGCTTTAAAACTTATAAAATATAAAATAAAATAAAAACAACATAAATTATTAGAATATTATTTAAAAAGTAATATCACCCAACAATCAATTTTAATAAATATAATTAAAAAGTGATTTATATGCAAATCATTTAGTAAAAGCTATGGTTATCGAATGAATCATGTATATTTATAAATATAACTTGCACGTTTTATACTTTTGTTAAACATGACATCTTATTAGTTGAATATGCACATATTATTAGTTAAGTAAGCACATCGTATTAGATTTACATAATGCATTTGCAATAAAACATTTTTTTTACATGTTAGTACAGAGAAAATAATTAATAAATTAAAAGCATTTCTTTTGTTTATCATTTTTTACCTTCTGATTCCGCCCTGTTTTCTATCGCTATATCTGTACAACTGAGCGACTTTAACTCCTCTACTGAATTCAAATTATTGCTTGACACTAAATGTATAAAGTACATTTCTAAGATGAAAAAAAAAAAAAATCACAAAGTTTATGGATAATTTATATAAAAAACAAAATAAAAACTAATGTAATTTCATATAATTTCAATATAAATCAATATAAAAAGTTATATTACATAACAATAAAAATTAAAAAATAGAGTTAAAAGGTGATTTGTATACAAAAAAATATTTTAAACATTTGTTTGAAAACAAGTATTTTTGTAAATGCATAAGGTAATTTACAAATATGATTTGCATTTTTTTAGAAAATTGTAGAAAACAAAATGTATATTTGTATATTTAAAAAAACAAAATAAAAATTAGTTTAACTTATTAAAATAATATTTACAAAAAAATAACACCCAACAATAAAATTTTATAAATGTAATCAAAATGTGACTTATATATAATTCATTTGTTAATCACTGTGGACCAGAGTGACCGCCAGGTCAAGTTGTTCCCGAGGTCTTATTCTTTTTCAATAGTTGGGTATACATTAGTAGAAACGATTTATGAAATTAAAAAACTTCTGAGTGAATGGACAAAGAACAAGGTGGAGGACCAAGGGAACTAGATAGAATAGATATTCAAAGTAGAATTCATGTTAATCTGTTTTTTTTTTATATATATAATTATTATTATTACTTTTAAGTTAATACTTTGTTTTATTTACAATCACCTAGTTTCTTATCTAAACATATAGAACTGATTTTTTTTTTTTTTTAATACATGTTATTATACATATATATTTTTTTTTAAAAATAAAACATGTATTATTGAAAAAACTTTCAGTTTTTACAATTGTATGCATAGACTTAAAATGTATATAACTTTATACATTATATATACAGCACTATAAGTATACATATACATATATATATATATATATATATATATATATATATATATATATATATATATATATATATATATATATATATATACATATATATATATATATATATATATATATATACTATATATATATATATATATATATATATATATATATATATATATATATATATATATATATATATATATATATATATATATATAAATATATATATACATATATATATACATCTATATACACATCTAAACTTTTTTTAAGTATTTGTGTCAATAAGGTAAATATAAGATAAATATAATATAAGATAAATATATCAATATAAATATATATAATATTAGATAAATAACCAAAATATATATAATATAAGATAAATATATCAATAAGGTAAATATAATAATCTAAGAAAAAACGGAAAAAAACACATCTAAACTTTTTTTAAGTATTTGTGTCAATAAGGTAAATATATATACTCAAGAGGTAATCCACTGTTATTCAGGGTGGTAGCCCTCTTTCAGAAGATATCAGGAGGTAATCCACTGTTATTTAGTGTGGTAGCCCTCTCAAAAAAAGCATGGAATTCGACTATGAATGCTTAGAAGAACCAAATTGGCCAACAATTCCAAGTGCATCTGCTGAAGTTACCAAAAAAATGCATAAATGGTGTGGCAAAATATCATATATTGTTTCAGACCTTTTAAAACGACTTAAAATTCTTGAAGATGAAAAGATAAATAACTTAACAGCAACAACAAATAAACCAACAACAATATTCACATATGCACAAGCAACATCAATTCAGAAAAATCAATTAAAACCAAAAGAAACTGATGTGGTAATGATGGCAAAAATTACAAACGAGTTTAATAACAAAAAAAAAACTGAAAACAACATCGTTATAAGCGGAGTTGCTGATCATACTACTTTAGACAAACAAGTTAATGAAGAAAATGATAAACAAACCATTGAAACAATGTTAAAAGCAATTAAACCAGATTTTTCAATAACAAATGCAAAAAGAATAATTTGATTAACTAATAAAGCTAAAAGACCAGAAGGACCACCTGACCTTATCTTAGTTGAATTGGAGAACAAAGAAACTCAAAATTTTATAATTAAAAATTCCAAAAAGTTAAAGGACAGCACTAACTTCAAAAATATTTTTATTAATAAAGACAAAACAGCAAATGAGAGATTGTTCGAAAGTGAACTCAGAAAAGTTAGAAATACTAGAAATGCAGCACTTACTCAAGAGGTTGAGAGAACAAATGGGAGGCAACGATACAATATGCACAATGGAAAAAAATATTATTGGGGTATACGATCAGGTGAACTCAAATGGATCGAAATTAGATCAACATAATTTACATATAAAAATTAAAAGAACCTCTGCATTAAACTTGGGTATCCAAAATGTTCAATCTGCCATAAAAAAATCTGCTATTATTCATGATATAGTGCAAAATCATTCTCTAGATATTTTTATACTCACTGAAACTTGGATAAAGTCAGACGACCCTACCGCAATTAAAGAAGATATGGCCCCACCAGGCTTTAAAACAATTCAATACTGCCGATCAGACCATCGTGGAGGAGGCGTTGCGATAGTCTATAGAGACAACTTGAATATCAAGCCACTCTCATTATCATCTACCTGTCTGTCTAAGAACGTAAATCAGCTAAACTAAACCTGGCAAATACTATCTACAATATTGTTGCTATTTATTGATCAAATCCAATCATTCCAACAAACATTTTCTTTTTCGAATTATCTAAACTCCTAGAGGAACTTCAAACATTATCTGGAGAAATACTTCTGTGTGGTGACTTTAACTGTCCAGGTACTACTCCCATAACCTGCAATTCAAAACTTAATGAGATTTTAGAGACCTACAACATGATACAACGAGTTCAATCTCCAACTCGCATATCATCTACTACTGGTATAGCCAACTTGCTTGATCTTGTAATAAATCGACATGATTATATTTCACTCAAGAGTATCCAAGTAACTGACGAGGGTATTTCAGATCACTATATGATTCGGGTAGAACTTTATCATCAACCTTCAAATACTAAAACTGTTTGGTTTTCAAAACGAAACTTTAGAAAACTAAACTTGTCATGCTTTATAAAAAAATTGCAAGTGATGCCATGTTGCTTATCACCTGAAAACAATGTGGATGATTATGCTGAACAAATAAGATCAAATATAACAACTGTTCTTGATCATTTAGCACCCATTCGAAAATATTCAATGCGAATTGGTAAACACGATGATCAATGGTTATCTTCAGATGCCAAGAATAAAAAAATCAGGCGTCGTAAACTGGAACGTTGTTATAGAAAAACTGGTAGTTTATCAGATAAAAAATTATATCGAACTGCATGCCGTGAGGCTGCAGCAGCAATTCAAGAATCCAGATGTAGTCATTATAGGGCGAAACTAAATTCAGCATACGGTGATCAAAAAGAAACATGGAACATTGCCAAGAAATTACTACATTCGAATAGTTCTAAAACTAATAACACAATACCAGAAGCAAAATGCGATATAATAAGTCAATATTTCATACGCAAACTCGAAATTATAAAGAACTCTATCCAGGAAAGGCTTGCAAAAACTCCAATATCTAAATTTATCTCAGAGTTATCTCCCCCTGTAGATATTTTAACCACATTTGGTACAGTCACACCTAAAGATGTGTCGAAAATAATCAAAACTCTCAAATCTAAGACATCGCCACTTGATATTATTCCAACAAACATCCTTAAATCTTGTTCAGAAATATTCAGTCCAATTATAGCTCACCTTGCTGACCTCTCATTCAAATCCAGAATTTTCCCAACCTCATATAAAGTTGCTCAAATAACGTCAATTCCCAAAAAATCAGGACTAGCAGAATTTGACCTAACAAATCTACGCCCCATATCAAATCTCAATACAATTTCGAAAATTCTTGAAAAGCTTGCTTTATCTCGTCTTCGTCCACATGTAACATCATCTGTCAACTTCAATCCTCTACAATCTGGTTTTAGATCTTATCACTCAACCGAAACAGCACTCTTAAAGATATGCAATGACATCCTGCTAAACATTGATGATGGTTTGACCACTATTCTCCTATCTCTGGACATATCTTCAGCATTTGATACAATTGATCACAGCCTGCTGATTACCCGTATTAAGAATGATTTTGGTGTCACAGATATTGCATTAAAATGGCTAACATCATACTTGCACTCTCGAAAATCTTTTGTTTCTATTGGATCATCAAATTCTAGACGAATAGCAAATTCAACAGGAGTACCACAGGGTAGTGTATTAGGCCCATTTCTATTTTCCATTTTTGTTTCACCTATATATCGTATTATAGCTAAATTTGGTACAAATCATCATCAATATGCTGATGATACCCAACTTTATACTTTCCTCAGCCCTGGCAAAGATAGCATCAGCAAAATCACTGAGTGTGCTAATGCAGTTACAATATGGTTTCTAGAAAATGGACTTCTGCTTAATCCAAATAAAACAGAAGCTATCTTATTTGGATCTAGAAAACAAACTAGCAAATATAAAAATGATTTGAATATTGCGTTTTCTGGAACCACAATAACTACAATAAATTTAGTAAAAATCCTTGGAGTCATCCTAGATTCAAAGCTCTCTATGGACAACCACATAAACAATATTATTAAATCCTGCAATTACCACATTCGTGCACTTCGCCACATTCGTCCATGTCTGACCAAAGAAGCTGCAAACATAATTGCTTGTGGCATCGTTAACTCTCAGCTTGACTATTGTAACAGCATTTTATCTGGCACTTATCAAAAAAATATTAAAAAACTCCAACGAATTCAAAATAACTTATCTCGTATTGTTTTCCATTCTCCTTTCCATTTAAAATCAGAAATATTGCTGAAATCTCTTCATTGGTTACCAATACATCAAAGAATAATCTATAAAATATCAGTTATCACATATAAAATTTTATTATCAAAATCTCCTGCATATTTATTTGAACTCCTAGAAGTCCGAACTTCAAAACAAAATACAAGATCATTAGACAGTTGCCAACTTACACGTCGTCAACAAAAAACCTCCTTAGGCTCAAAATCTTTTTGTATGCCTGCACCTCGAATTTGGAATGATTTATCTTTAAACACGTGAAACTCAACTTCTATAGAAACATTCAAAAAAAGACTGAAATATGAACTTTTTATGAACTCTTTTTCAGATTCATAGTTTACTTGTTTAGTGCTTCTGAATTACTTCATCACTATTGTGATTGTTGTAAATAATGGCACTTTAATCTCTAATTATTATTATTATTATTATTATTATATATATATATATATATATATATATATATATATATATATATATATATCGTGTAAATTTTTGTTTAAAGGACCTTTTTTTTTATAGTTAGTTTGTACTGTTTGAGGGTTCCCTACTTCCCTTACCCCCCCCCCCTCTTTCCTTCCCTATCAATTTATTTGTAGAATTGCTTTTGTTTGTTTTTAAACAAAAATATTTAATGCAAGGACTTCTCAAATCTTTACAGAGAATAGATCTGTCAGTAATTTCATTAAAGCAGCAGAACAGCTTGGACCTAAATATTCAGAACGGTTAGCCTCAGGAAAGTATATTAAGCTGGTACTGTTATGGAGTTTGTTATATCTCTTGAGCTTTCAAAAAATCAAACAAATAATTTTTTTTTCGAATACAGATCTAGTATGGTAACACAAACCTGCATTAAAGCAAAAATCTTTAAAAAATTGAGGCTCTCCATGACCGTTTAGATGATTTTTACACTTCTAAGGTAGTAGATTTTACGGATGGAGAAAAAGTCATTACTAGAACATTGGTTCATGTAAAGATACATCCACATTTATACAGCACCCCATTACAGAAAGAGGATTAGATTCACATGACTACATATTAAGAACAGCTATGGATTTAGGTTAAGGATTCCTTAAAGTTTTTGTAAATGTTTTTAATCCCTCTGAAAAAACTTCTTCAAATTCAGACCTAGATGATGTTAGAGTAAAGAGAATTTTTCTTATAGCAATCGTTGATGGGGTTTCTAAAGCTAACAATAATCTTTGAAAACTTGTTGAGCGTCTGAATTTAAACAATGTAAAGTTTTACGTTGCATTCGATCTTAAAAATGCAAGTTCAGTGTTCGGAATTAGTAGTCATGCTGGGAATTACAGTTGTTTATATTGTGAGGGATCTTGCACTCTTGAGCCTGCTATCAAGAGAACACCTAGGTCTTTGGATGAGCACTACAACAACTTTACCCTTGACGGAAAGAAAAAATTAAAATTGTTATATACCCTAAACCTTTTCTTGCGGAGTTTATTCCTTTTCCTGAGCTCTATATTCTAATGGAAATAGTAAATAAACTTGTATTACTTCTAGTTTTTGTATGGCCTTAGTTTGAGAAGTAGTTACAATTAAATTATCAAAGACGTAGGACTTGACGGAAAAAAACCAAGCAAGCTCCTGAAGTAGGTGGATATACTTGAAAGAGATATTATAAACAATGAAAAATATAACTTATTACCAATAGTAAACTGTCTTAGAAAGTTTAAATGCCTTTAAGCAGAAGTTATTTTATGGTAGCAGGGGATTTTTTTTTTTTTTTACATATTTGTTTTACAACTACAAAGTATTTACAAGTAACCAATCACAGATTGGCGGTAAAGATATACAAACATAAATATCATAAACATAAAGTGCGAAATATACAAAGTAAAAAAAAAATATAGTTGCATACAACTCCGAGGCACGATTAAAATAAACACTAATTACAACAATGTAGTAACGTGTATGTAAAAATAATCCGATAAATATATCTCTATTTTATTCCAGGTAAAGTAAAATAAATAAAAATAAATTAGCTGATTTTTTGGAGAAGTGTTTAGATGTTTGACTATAAGTTTATTTACCACATTTCAAACTAATGTTTGTGTATAAATATAATAAAAACGAAATTTGTGTAAGATTAATAAGAAGAATTACTTGTTAGTAGTTATAGGACGCTCGCAGAAGACTTAAGTCAGTCTTGTCATCGAGTACCTTTTTCTGGACGTGTAATACACATAAAAATCAGTTGCATACGTTGTATATATGTGTGTTGTACATATATACCTTGTTAGTAATATTATTTTTTTTTATCGATTTGTATTAAAAATTAAGCTCCATTTTTAAAAAAAAATTTTATTAATATTTTAAAAAAATTCTTTATAGTTGTTTAACTTGATTATTGTAGATTTTAGCTTTATTTAATAATATACATAACATCAGCACTGCTGTTCTGGAGTTAAAAAAATTTTATGCAGACTTGATTGAATACGTACATGTAACATTCAAGGATATCGAGCTCATTGTTACATGGAAAGTTCACATAGCAGTATGTCATATACTTCCTTTTCCTCATTCAACTGACCGCGGCCTAGGAGTTTACTGTGAGAAAACAGGAAAAGCTATTCATCATGAGTTCAAAAAAACATCCTAGAAGTCTTGAATGTTATAAATACTTTTCACTAATGTATACCCAACTATTTAAAAAAATCAGAGTTTGGTAACAACCTAACCCGGTGGTCACTCTGGTCCACAGTGTAATGGTTATTAAATATTATGCATATCAGCATAATCAGGCATATTTATAAATATAACTTGCATATTTTATAATTTTGTTAAACATTCACATCATATTTAATCATTTAAATAATGCATTTACCTAAACACATGTTTTTTAATCATGTTAATACAGAGAAATATTATATCAATTGAAAAGCATTTTTTTCGTTTAGTATTTTTTTACCTTCCGATTCTGCCCTGTTTTCAATCACTATGTCTGTACAACTAACTGACTTTAAATTCTCTTCTGAATTCAAATTATAATTCAAACATTTAAAAAACAAAATTAGAAAACTTATGGATAATTTAGAAAAAATCATTAAAATTTGTTAAAATAATAAATAAAAATTATATCACATAACAATAAAAGTTAAAAAATAGAGTTAAAAGGTTTAGAGTAACTTGTAAAAATAATTATAAAAATTTATATTAAATAAAAATACCGTTTATTAAATGCAAACACTAGGTGATTTTCATAGAAGTAATATATACGATAAGTGATAAATATTAATGTTCAAATTTGATTAATGTTTTACAAAAATAAATATATATATATATATATATATATATATATATATATATATATATATATATATATATATATATATATATATATATATATATACATTGTTTCATTGTTTCTATTTAGTAAATCTTACCTTCTAATTCTCTCTTATTTTCAATTACTATGTCTGTACACTTGTAAGATTTCAGCACTATTGATTTTGATTGATATATTGACACTAAATGTTTGAAGTTTTTTTTAAGATAAGAAAGCAAAAACACTGTTAAAAAATAGTTTATAAAAAGAAATATTAAACAGCATAGCCAAAGAAAAGATTATTAAAAACGAATATTATTTCACAAATCTATCTATTTAATGTGAACAAGTAACAATATATACATAAATTATATTTTGTAACAACTATAATGCAAAGAATAATAAAAGTGCAAAAAGTTATTGATGAAGATATGTATAGTGTAAAAAATTATTATTGAAGATATATACCAATAAAAGGCCTAAACCATTTTTTAAAACCATTTTTCCGTTTTAAAAGTTTCAAAGTTCTTGGAAAATAAGTATATTGTTTATCTTAAACATAAAAAAAAACATAAAGTTTGATAAAATCTTTACTAAATAGATTTTTAATGTTAACTTTTTGTAGTATTTGTTAGATAAAAACGATTGGTGTTTAGTATTATATATACATTTTTTTAAACTTTTTTTACTTCCAACTAGGCTTTAAGCAACCACTATTAGCATTAAAAGTTAATGGATGAAGAAAAGATAAATGTTATAGGACAAGATAAAGATTACCAAACAACTTGAAAAATTGCAATTTCTATCAATTAGGAAAACAAGGTAAAGGGAACAAATTTTAAATAACTGATATTTAAGGAAAAAACTAGACAAATGAGAAATATTTGGAGCACTTAGGAACAGTCTCAGAAAAATGATGAGACTTAACTGAATGACGAGTAACTCGAGAACGAATTCTTGTTGATGGCACAAAAGACGCTAGTTGTATAAAAAAGAAAGAGAATCAACATTACGACAATTTGACATATATTGACTGCAAGAGTAGGTTCAAACATGTTTACAATGTTACAACCTTTTTGCGCCTTGTAAAAAAGAGAAAAGACATCATTCAAAAATCAGCTCAATATATGGCAATATAATTCAATTTGAATAGAGATAAATAATAGAATAAGGAGGAGGAATGCGGCGAGCGCTAAAGAGATGCAACCTTGGCAGATGCTAATTTTGCAATGGATTGGGCATGTGGTTTCCAAAAAAATGAAAGTAAGAGTTATTCCAGGCAATCGAAAGGTAGATAACTTATTTAGTACATTACTGTTCATAAATATATAGGAAGATCTAGATTTTTGCAATAACGATTAGCAAAAGAAATTAAGTTTTATTTGAGTTAAAGTTGACCAGCCATTGAGAGCAGCACAAGTGAGATCCTTTTCAAGCTTAAACGTCCCCTCACAACAATCAGAGAATGTTGCCTTTTTATCAAGGCAATATTAAATGGTAGTATCATCAGAGAATAGTGCTATCTTAGATTTGAGAGTCTTTTGGAGATGTAAACTAAAAAATGCAATAAGACAAAAGATTAATGAAAAACTTTGATGAAGCCCTAAAGATATAGAAAATAAAGAAAAGTGCAGTCCATCGAAGACAACTTTTATGCAACAATTGGTAAGGTAGGATTTAATAATATTCTAGATGTTACCTTACATACCGTAAAAAGAGAACTTCTAGAAAGACTAGCATGCCTAACTTTATCAAAGGATTTGGAAATGTCAAGAGCAATAGCATTAGTATCGTCACATCTATCTAATAGACGATAAAACCTTTCCGGTATTACCCTTAATAAATATTTATGATTAAAAATTGTGGCAGCACAATCAGAGAAAAATCATGGAGAAGAGTGTTAATCATAGAGAAGAATATTTAACACAGGTAAAAAGCTATTTCATTAAATAAATAAAACTCTCAAAAAATTTTGAAGTATGATACAATACTATTAATATATTAAATTATAAAAACTAAAACAGTTGCTAGCCCGAAATCGCATGAACAAAACTTTTTAAAAAGTTTCTGTAAAAACTGTAAATACTTTTATCAATGCTTACTCAAAAATGCAAAAAAACAATTTTAAAGTAAAAAAATTACTGAATGTAAATTTGATATAAAAATACTATAGAATCTAAATTAACAAGTTAATGGATCATAATAAAAGTAGTTCATTACTTCCTTTCAAGTCTTAATTAATTATTCAATATTAGTCTTAATTAATGGATCCATTCGGAACTCCGTCTCGTTTGATTATTCTCGGTTTTTCGGAGTATGAAAGAAATCAAAAAACTTTGACGGAACTTCAACAAAGTTTTTAAAAAATTTTTTTACTCGCAAAATAATTAAATTTTTATTTTGTTACTACGCTGCTTTTTTTTTAGTTCTTGATGTTTTCAAAATGCATAATAATAAATATTATTGATTTTTTTTTTCTTTTACAATTAAACATGATCAAATTACGAATGTATCCATTGATTAAGATTAATAATGAAAGGAAGTAATGAAATAATGAGTTCCGAATGGATCCATTGATGAAGACTAATATTGAGAGAAAGTAATGAAATAATGTAAAAGTAATATTTTTGAAGTTACAGATATTATAGCACAATCACTTAAAATAATAAATAAAATAATGTTCTCTTAAAAAGTTTAACAATAACTTTACTAACGTTGGTCTAAATATAGGCAGTAAAATTGTATTTCCGATTGATCCATTTAAAACCTGTTTAAGTTTTTTGACAGCGAATTAATGGTTAAAGAAATTGAGGATGCTTTCTCATCTTTAAAAAAAAGGAAACCTCCGGGTTTTGATGGAATATCGGCTAATATAGTAGCTTTAAACAAAAAAACATAAGGAAACCTTTGTTTTATATTCTTTAACCTTCAATTAATGAAGCCATATTTCCTGATATGTTAAAAGTAGCTAAAGTTTACCCAACTTATAGAGACAATGATAGTTCCGATATCCAAATTTATAGACCTATATCCGTATTATCCGTTTTATTAAAAATATTTGAACGATTTGTTTAATAGAATTTAACTTTGGTTTCCAGAAAAATACTTCACCTGAGCATGCAATTATTGAGTAATTTAATAAAACAAACAACGGGTTTAAAAAAAACATTTCGTACTTATGGTTCTAGGAAAAAATCCCCCGGGAAATATCCTCCCAAAAAAAGAATTTTTTTTTTTTTACATAAAAATTATCAATATGCAGTTATGTTTATTTCTTTATTTATTTTAAATATTTATATAAAATACTTCATTTTTCATCAAAATGTCAAGTAATGCACTTTTCCTCAAAGGTAGCGAATGTGAAACCCTAACCCTGACGAACTGCGAACTGGTAAAATGTGAACTTTTTTGCAAACCATCGTAGTTAATTTAGCGGTATATTTTATGGACTTTTAAGCGAAAAAATATTTTAAAAAAATAGACGGAAAATAAGTGAAACTAGACAAAAACAATATGAAAAAATATATATATATATATTTTTTTATTTATTTGATAGACTGCCTGCCCAACCCCAAACCCTCAGTCGATGTAGCAGCTCTCCGTTGCGAGTCAGGCTATTTGTCAGTCGATGAAGCAGCACTCGGTTGCGAGTCAGGCTATAAGATAGTCGATGTAGCAATACTCCGCGCATGTTTTACAGTTAAAAAAAATTAAAATTTTATTTTAAATAAATTTTTAAAATAGAATATTAGGAATTAGAGAAGTTTTTTTTATTATTAAATTTACAGACAATCGAGAAATAGCACATAACCTTACATTTTGATGAAAAATGAAGTATTTTATAAAACTATTTAAGATAAATATGACTATTTTATTGGTAATCTTTATGTAAAAATAATTTTTCTTTTTTTGGGGGGATACTTCCCGGGATGATTTTTTCTCGGGGGGATTTTTTCCGGGGGGATTTTTTCCCGGAAGATTTTTTCCTGCTACCGTACTTATTATATTTATAGATCTGCCAAAAGCATTTGACACAGTTGATCACTTCATACTTTTAGAAAAGTAAAATTAATATGGTGTGACAAACAAAACATTTACTCTCCTATATTTAATTTATATGAACGACTTCTGTAGTTTATTTTCAAAATAAAATTATGTATGTTTATGATACTAATTTATTTATGTCAAATAATGATACTCTTCGGCTATATGGAGAAATGAATTTTGAATTGATGAAAGTAAACAAATTGTTTAGAGCTAACAAGCTCTGAATAAAAACAGATAAAACTCAATTCACATTAGTTTATAATAAAATATAGCAAAAATATTTGCTAAAAGTTATAATCTTTTTTGTACTAAAAAATAGAAAATAAACTTTTTAATTTAAATTTAATAGTTCCGTTAACTAAAGATTGACATGTATATTTCTAAATAAATATTCCACAGACCTGTCAATCTTTAGTTTACGGAACTATTAAATTTAAATTAAAAAGTTTATTTTCTACTTTTTAGTACAAAAAAGATTATACTTTTTAGCAAATGTTTTCGCAATATTTTATTTTCTACTTTTTATTCTTAACAAAGAGTTATGATATATTAGTATGAAACAAAATTTTTTTGTCAATAAAAGTATTTTTAAAAGATATAAAAAAAAAAATACAAACCCAAAAGCAATTTTAGTAAATTTTAAAAATGAAAAGTATTTATACTTTTCTTCCGCCGCAGACGGCGGCTGCCTCCCAATTAATTTTTGGCGGCAAAATTTTTTATGTTCCGCCTCCGATGGCATCCGCCTTTCTATTGACGGCCACAGTCAAATATTTTTTTTTGGAGGCAAAATGTTTTTCAGGCCGACGCCAATAGAGAGAGGCGGAAGCCAATGGTGGCAGCCTCCAGTAGAAATTTTGGAAGCAAAACCATTTGGAGGCCGCCTCCTATAGCTTTTGCCTTTTTTTTTTTTTTTAAATTAGAACTTTTTTAAATACTGCACATTATCATATAAAATGAAATTTGATGTTAAATATTTAACATTTGTTTCTAGTTAATATTTAATTGCATTAAAGCAAACGAGCAATTATTTTTCATTACGTCCGCCGGCGGGAGGCAAACATTCCTGACTCCAATTTGGCGGCCGCAGCCAGTCAGGAGACAGAAGCCATTAGAAGCGGCCTCCGAATGATTCTGTTTTCACAATTTTTGTTT